CTGAGTTTAGAGTTCTATTTTATTGCAACTAAATATGTAATTTAGTATAGTTTAGGTTTATTATAGCGAACCTATTCCCATATATTATTTTGTCATTTTTATATATATTAATAAAGCATCTGATCGAGCAATAATAATTCCAAAAGATGTGTTTCATTTAATACTATAAAAAGTATTTATGGGACTAAGCCAATAATCCAAAGGTTATAATGAATGGTAATTTATTTAAATTACCAAAAAATATTCAAGATGTTAAAATAAATTGTTATATTTATTTCATTATTACTATCGCTCTAAAAATATTTGAACTATAGATAAATTTTTTTGCAAGATAAAATTTTATAATTGTCATGTCAGGTTGTTCTTGATTATTCTTTGAATATGATAATTTAATTTGGTTTCAGTATTGTAACCATTTTTTTACTTTGATTCCTTTTCATTCAAAAAATCTTTATTATTTTGAATAGTATGACATCTTGTGCAGGATTTGAATTGTTGATCTGATATAGTAAAAGAATGACTTATCGTTATAAAAAAATTTTGTTGATTTAAATGTGTAATAATCAAAAGAAAAAAAATTCAAATAAATATAAAGTAGAATAAAACTATAAGCAAAATCTATAAAAATTTTAAGCAATAACAGTACTGCAGCAATGATAGTAGAATAAAAAATTTTTTATACCAGGAATGGAGTGATAAAATGGCTTATTGCTAAGTTTTATCATTTTTAAGCCACATTTGATAATAATCATCAATGAATGTGATATCTCTATATTTTTCTTTCATAAATCTTAAAAATGATTTCTGTTTACTGTTATTGTCTTTTAATGAATTTTTAGACCTTATGTAATAACAGTAAAGCTTTTTTTAAAAAAAATCAATAATAGTATTTTTCATTTTTTGTCCAACAAAAGAATGTATTATTTGCTATAAAATTCTTTTCAAAGTTTTCAAATTACTTATTAACTAGATTTTTCTATATTTGCATCACAGACAAATACAATTGCATCTTTTTCGTAGAAGAGTAATATATTATTAATGGTGTGAACATCTTCGTTATTAAAGGTTGCATGATTTCAGATAATAAGATAATAGAAGAACTCTTTATAAGTAATTTTAACAATTAAATATAAGGGGACACTAGAGTGTGTTGTTTCTATATTAAAACAATTTTTGCTTAATAAATTAAGGATATATATATCTATCCTTACTTTTTTTTATCTAATTAATTTGATATATCAAGCACATATGAATAGTCAAGCATTTATAGTACTAACAAGTAGTATAATGATTTAAACAGTTTTTTATAAGTGAAATTCTTTGAACTTTTGTGCTCATGATTATGATTTTTAACAGTAATTTTTTTTTGAAAAAAACAAAATCCTTTTTCAATTAGAACTGACACGTGAGCTGACATAGTTAGCGTTAGTGTTATTATCGCGAAGATTGTCCTGATCAACGAGTTGCATGAATTTAGTAATTGATGTTAAGAGATAATTGAAATGAGAATTTAAGGAAACAAGAATAAGGGATGATTGAAATGAGAATTTAAGGTAATAGAAAAAAAGATGATCAGTAGTGCTTATTTCTTTCGCTGCCCAATTATTATTATCTGGCCTGTCATTTTTAGTCTCTATCCTCCCCCTAATAAACTTACAAATATAGATATATATTACCAATTATTATAAAAGTCACTGCACCAAAGCATGAGCACTTCTCTACTGCGGTGAATCTTGTATTTGCCCAGTTCTCAGTTACAATTTATAGTAATGTTAAGTTGTGAGATAATAGAGTCGCTGCACTAAAGCGTGACATATTGCTACTGCAGTGAAATTTACATTTACACAGTTTTCAGTTACAATTAATTATCTATATAAATATATATTTATCATTTATAAGTTTATTTTGGAAATGAAGTTTCTATGCTAAAGCAATCATTATTATCTTTCAAATTTAATATCACACTACAACTATGTATTCAATACTCTCTATGCTTTTGTCACATAACTTGCATGATCTGTAGCGAGAGCACTACTCCCATAATATTATTCCATATATAAGATATTAATAAAGTAATTCGAGCGAGAATAAAACAATTATCTAAAAATTTCACAGAACTCATTCTTAATTTAGAGATATGATTATACGTAGTATGATTTCACGGATTCACGGGTTAGCGAGATCATATGATCATATATTTAAAATAAAGATTTGTCCAAGCTAGTGATGCGACCTGTAAATTTTAAATAATATAATGATAAATAATTTATGGGTTACTTTAAATCTATGGATATTCACCGGCTTAAAGTAACTCATAGATTATTTATATTATTTGTTCAATATTCGGTTCACATCTCTAATCCAAGCTAAACAATCAAATGGTGTTTATTTACAAGAAATTTCTCAAAATAATAATAATATCCTGATTCATTGGGAATTAGCAGAAACAAAGTTTCCGCTTATTCACATATGGTCAGGGTATTATTAATTAATCCTCCTGTGATCTTGATATAGTGATCAGGTGATTAATTAAATAATCATGTTCAAAGTGAAGAAGATATTCATAAATTTCTTAAATTTTCAATTGCAAGTAATAGATTGCAGTATTATGTTAATTTGACAACTTTCAATTATAAAAAAGTAACTATTTAATGAAAATTCATTTGAAATTCTGACTTGTCTGGTTTTGGATCAATATAAAAATTCGCTAAAACTGATTTCTCTCAAAAAAAAAATTTTATAATTTTAAACTTCAAAAGCACAATATAAACTTCCAATGGATAAACATGAATCCATTACTGAACATCCTAGTACTGTTACAAAATATTCTACTATGTAACTAAACATTTGAGATTTCTTTGATCTAAATATGTTTGCTATACAAGACCTTAAACTACTTTCTTTATCTTTGGGTATTTTATTATAATTCTAATCTAATATTCTTATTCTTTATTTTACGTATACTATAAATTATTTTTATAGAAATAATAAATTATATTAGTAGTATTAGCATCATTTAATTTTTTAAAATATTTTGGGTATCAATATTTAAAGTTGGAATTAAAAATTAGGATAAAATTGGAAGTATCAGAAATGGAAATCTTTTACTATTTTTATGTGTATGTGACATGAAATTTATATACCGAGTATTATAAAATTGTTAAAGTAAATCTGACTAATAACTTCCTGTAACTTATATAAAGCCCCATTGCTCTCAGTTTTTGAGTTTTTATTCTCTATTTCTTTCACCTTGTCATTAATTGAAAGAAAAAATTATATCCGTAACTTCATAATAAAATCATGACAACTTTGTTCAGAATCATTAATAATGAGCTGCATGATTGTATCGATTTTGATAAAGTTATAGAAATTAATGGTGGTAGTTCAGAAGTGATTTATAAATCAGAATGTAAATGTTGTAAAGTCATGAAGGCCCTTAAATGCCAAAGAGATAATACACAAAATCAAATTTTCAACAGTGAGGTAAATGAAATTTTATTCATTGTATTTAAAGTAGGGATGGCAAATGATTTAAACCAGAATGTTTTAATTAACTTTTTACATATTTCAAAACATCGTCACTGATGTTGATATCATGATTATTGCACTTTGCAAAAAGATGTGGCCTCTGCAGATCATGATATTATGTGGAAATCAGAGATTTTGTCAATTTTAAGAATTTTATCGATTAACATAGCTGATTGAAAATATAAATCAATAGACAATCAAAATCTCAAGTTTCTCTGATCATCATCACGTGGCCACATCTTTTTGCAAAGCGCTATAATAATATCATGATTATAAATTCGAATCTTCTGACTTTGTCTTTTACACAAACTGATAGCATATTTCGATTAAGACATAAAAATTCATGACAACACTGAAGTTGAAATTAGTCAATTATTTATATATAGTAAAATTTCAGCTTCATCCATCAACGCCATCAACAATGTTTTAAAACATTTTGTTAAAATATATAAAAATCATTAAAAAGTGATTTTTTACCATTCCTAATTTAAAGATCTTAAAAAAACTTTTTTTTCTTTTTTATCTATTTAAGGCAGATGATTATAATGCTCTGAATAAATATCAGCATGAGAAATTTTTTTTATCACTCTAATTGTCTTTTTAAATTTCTTGTAAGGTTGAAATTTTGTGAAATGTTCAGGGCCACCCTAACATAATTACATTCTATAGAGTTACGAAAGGTACATCATTACTGGATGCTTTCCTAAAATTTTACACACAATATATTTTTTACTATTCAAATATCTGGTGAAAGGACGCAATATTTTGAAATTTTTACATAATGAGTATTGAAAATCACATGATGCATGACTACATCAAAAGCTAAAAAACAAATTTAATCATATGCTTGTGTATGATATCAATCACTAGTTAATCCATTATTCAATTCTGATTAACAAAAATTACTAACTCTACTGTAAAAAATAATAGATCTTTTAAAAGAACATTATTTTATGGTATTACAATATGTTGATAAAGATTTACAGGATTATTTAAGAGAAAAGTTCAAAGATCTATGATGGATTGATAAATTTCGCATGGCTGAGGAAACTACACAAGGGCTTTGGTTTTTATACACTAAAAATATAGTTTATGGTGATTTAGTAAGCATATATTTATTTTATCTACATACAATTTTAATTATTTAAATTATTGACAATTTTATTTTATTTTTTGATAGCATTCCAAAAATATTCTCGTCTATAACAAGCAAATTAAGATTATAGATTTTGGTATGTTGAGACAGATCAATGAAATTTTAATACCGTTATGCTCAAACATTAAAGGGATGTCAGCATATGTAGATCTCCGATGTTTAAAAGACTCAAAATATGATAAAAAATCTGACATTTATAGTCTTGGAGTTATTCTTTGGGAGATATTGAGCAGCTAACCACCATTCAAACTATTAACTCCCTCTAAAATTATTTGGAAGATACAAATGCTAGATGAATTTAGAGAAATTCCAGTAGAAAACACACCTATCCAATATGTTGAATTATATAAGAAATGTTGAAGTAAAGACCTCTATTTTCATCCAGAAATACCTTTAGTTATTAAAGCATTAAATGAACTACAAAATTCAAATATATTCATTGATATTTAATGTATAAATACTCATATCGTTATGGTTTTAACAAATTGAAAAAATCCAGTAATCTATAGATCTGCATTTAAAAAATTACATAATTCGAAAAAACCGGTAATTTATAAAAATTACATTTAAAAAAAAATGAAATATATTTTATACTTAACGTTAATGTTAAAAAATTAATTCGGCAAAACCTGTAATTTGTATGTAGATTTGCATTTAAAAATTAATTCGGCAAAATCTGTAAATGAAGATTTAAAATTTATTTAGATTAGCAAAACTTGTAATTCATAAATATGTTGATATAGAAAAATCTTTTTGTATGAGAATCTAAATATTTAAATATGGTAACAAAATTAAAAACACTTATGTACCTGATATTTTCATTTACTGTTTATATTGTTTGTCATTTTTAACAAATTTTCATCTATGGTATATATGTGAAAATATATTTAAGAAAATGTCTTCAACAAATTATAAAATATCAAATATTAGATTTACAATATTGAATTTATATATGTAATTTTAAAATAAATATTTTGCATAATAAAAACAACTTATATTGAACCTAATTTCTTTTTTTGATATATTTATAAAATTCATTATATTAAGCATGTAATATTTATCTTTTTGACTTAAGAAATATAGTAAAGGATTGTTTAACTTTAAGATCAAAATTATTTTTAACTTAATTATTAACTATTACTCAAATTTCGTATGAAGAATCTTTAGATATTCAAGATTAAGTATTTAAAGTTTTAAATTAACTTTTATATTTAATTTCACAAAGAATTAGAAATAATTTTTTTATAAATTTGTATATAAAATTTAAGTATTCCTATTAATTTAATTAATAAGTACACTATCACTGCAGAACTTTTGCTTATGATACCAATTGTGGACGATGAGTCTGAAAAGTTCTGGCATAGAAAGACAACGAACATAAATTACAAAAATGCTTGATGAAAAATTTCCGAAAGGTAGTAATGGCGTAAAAATTTGTCGGTCCTGCCAACTAGACTAAAACTTAGGCTCAGAAAAATACCTACTGCAGGTTAATATAATTGATTGACTAACGCTAATGCCAATGTTAAATAATTCGATCCAGAACTAAATCCTATCGCTATGTAACGTTAAATGTATTATGTTTTCATGTGACTTAAGGACCGATTAACACTATTTGATATATCGATATGAAAAATAAGCTGGTTCACATTAATAATATTTAAAATTACGAATTTATAATTGACAATTCAAAAACAATATACAATCATTTTTGTAATTGAATTCCAAAATTTAAATATACCACAATGCAATTTCTATTAGTCATTTATTAGTCTAACATGAAGATTGTATAATTAATTTTTAATTCAACAATAATTCAGCAATTCAAAATACAATTATTTTTAATATTAAGTAATTTAATAATTGAAATTCAAAAAAAATTTATATATATTATAATTCTTAAACTCTATTTAATAAGCAATTTGCTTAATAATTAAATGATAGATTTCCAAAAAA